ATTCCTCAGCACCACATAAGCAGAAAAAGCTGGAAGTGGCACTGTGGCTCAAGTGGTAGAGTGCTAGCCTTGAGCTGAAGAGCTGAGGGACAGCGCCTAGGTCCAGAGTTCAGACCCCACAGCCAAAAAAAGAAAAGAAAAGTCATAATTTTGATCTAGTGGAAATTAAATCACTCCACTTAACCGTGAATTTCTTAATGAAAAATACTGATAAATCTCAGACAGACCTGAGTGTTCAGATCTTGGATTTGCTACTTAAAGTAGTTAGGAGCCAGGTGCAGGTAGCTCAAGCCTATAATCCTAGCTACTCAGAAGGCTGAGAACTGAGGTTCTCGGTTCAAAGCCAGCCCAGGCAGGAAAAGTTTATGAGACTCTTATCTCCAATAAACCACTCAGAAAACTGGAAGTGTTGCAGTGGCTCAAGTGGTAGAGTGCTTGCCTTGCATGCATGAGGCCCTGGGTTCGAGTCCTCAGCACCACATAAGCAGAAAAGGCCAGAAGTGGTGCTGTGGCTCAAGTGGTAGAGCGCTAGCCTTGAGCTGAAGAGCTGAGGAACAGTGCCCAGTTCCAGAGTTCAAGCTCCATGACCGGAAAAAAAACAAACAAACAGGGCTTATATACTAAGCTTCAATAACTGTTTTATGCTTTTCTAATGTGAATTATAATGAACTTGTAGAGTTCTTGCAGAGATTACATGAGATATGTACTTCAAGTAATATAACTTCCTTCTACTATATATAATAAGCATCCTTATCACATGCATCATTTCTTTGGCAGTATCTTGGATTTGGAACACCATCTAATCTGGGAAAAGGCAGGAGGGCTGCAGCGGCTGCAGACCTTGCTAATCGAAGTGGGGAATCAAATACTCATCAAGATATTGAAGAAAAAGATCGGTTATTACGTCATGTGGAAGCCAGAGATCTTATCGAGTTTGGCATGATTCCTGAGTTTGTGGGACGGTTGCCCGTGGTGGTTCCTTTGCATAGCCTAGATGAGAAAACACTTGTACAAATACTAACTGAGCCACGGAATGCCGTTATTCCTCAGTACCAGGCCTTATTCAGCATGGATAAGGTTAGGTTTCATTTTTCATATTTATGTTTTTTTCTCGCTGTTGAAATGCTACATAAATTAGGTTCATAGATTAAAAAGAATCCTAAAAAAAAAGAATCCTGCTTATCTGTAATATCAAGAAAGGCATACTATGTTACATTAAGCATTTGAGAGCTTTCTGAATTAAAATCATCATTAGAACATAAAATGCAAGGACGTGTGTGTGTGTGTGCGTGCGCGCGCGTGCGTGCGTGCGTGCGCGTGTGCTGCGCGTGTGCGTAGGGTCATTAACTTATCTCTTCCTCTCCATGCCCAATACACAAGATTGTCCTTTCAACCTTGGTATTGTAAATGCTTTTATTGCGACATACTATGTGCACATTCATATACTTTCATCTAATTAAGGTTTTATTAGCTCCCACATTTCTGTCCTCGTAAACACATCCAAACAACACGTTTGGGTTAGCATCTTCAAATATCAGTTTTCTTCTCTCTGTTGCCACTACATCAAATTATTCATCTTATCATTTTTCACCTCAGCCCATGCATTTTATCCTGATAAGTTTCCCTTCTTAAGCTTGTCTCTGACCACCACCACCAAAATACTACCTTCTATACCTTCACAGTGAATCATTTTTTAGTATTGATCACATATTAAGCTCTTGATTTTTATTCAATGAGTGTACATAGGCTGATTCTTTTTTTTTTCTTTCTTTTTTTTGTTGGTCGTGGGGCTTGAACTCTGGGCCCTGGGTGCTGTCCTTGAACTCTTGGCTCAAGGCAAGCGCTCTACCACTTGAGCCACAGCACCACTTTTGGTTTACTGGTGGTTTATTGGAGATAAGAGTCTCACAAACTTTCCTGCCCAGTCTGGCTTTGAACCTCATCTTCAGATCTCAGCCTCCTGAGTAGCTAGGATTACAGGAGTGAGCCCACCAATACCTGGCTACACGGGCTGATCTTTTACTCTCTTGCTTAAAATCCTTCAGTGGCTTTGTCTTACTTAGATAATCACGTCACTGATCCTGGACACCAGGGGCATGCACTGGGTTCTTAGTATGTAAACATTCAGCAAATGTTGAAAGAACATCTCAACCCAGAAAACCTCTTCAAAGACTACAAACAAACTTGTGATTCATAAGACTGGTACTGTCATGGCTTAATTGATTTTTTTTTAAAAAAAGGCTTCTTGAAGGCAGGGTTCTAAGACATCATAAGAAATAATCACCTTACTATTTGAACACTAGTGTTTGGAAATTTGTGGTAATTAAGTGAGGCTTATTTGAATTTACCTTTGTTGTACCAGGTCAGTGATACTCTGTCTCCACAGAGAGACAGCATAGGACCAGTCAAGACATACAGATGCTGAGCTTGCCTGTGTGTCAAGGATCACTGAATCACTTTAACCCTGTGAACTAAATTATCTGTGAAGTTGGGCCTTTTTCCCCACATTTTAATTGTAAAATTATGTGTCTAAGAAGAGTAATGATGATGATAGGTAGCTATAGTTAGTAGATGTTGTATGATTATATAAGGAAAATAATCAGGTATTATCTGAGTTTCTTCTCAATCTCTTTGTAGTGTGAACTGAATGTTACTGAAGATGCTTTGAAAGCCATAGCTAAATTGGCACTAGAACGAAAAACAGGTGCACGAGGCCTTCGGTCCATAATGGTAAGTTGGCATTATCTTTTTTCTTTTTTTTTTTGATCGGTTGTGGGGCCTGAACTCTGGGCCTGGGTGCTGTCCCTCAGCTCTTCAGCTCAAGGCTAGCACTCTACCACTTGAGCCACAGTCCCACTTCCAGCTTTTTTCTTTTTGCTTTTGTGGTGCTAAGGAATTGAACCCAGAGCCTCATGCACGGGAGGCAAGCACTCTGTCACTGAGCCACATTCCTAGCCCTGGCATTACTCTTTTTCTTTTTTTGTCGGTTGTGGGGCTTGAACTCTAGGTTTGGGTGCCGTCCTTGCGCTCTTCAGCTCAAGGCCAGCACTCTACCGCTTAGCCACAGCGCCACTTCCGGTTTTCTAGTGGTTTATTGGAGATAAGAGTTTCACGGGCTTAAGCCGGGCTTAAGCCGGGCGCCGGTGGCTCACGCCTGTAATCCTAGCTACTCAGGAGGCTGAGATCTGAGGATCGAGGTTCAAAGCCAGCCCGAGCAGGAGAGACCGTGAGACTCCTATCTCCAATAAACCACTAGAAAACCAGAAGTGGCGCTGTAGCTCAAGTGGTAGAGCGCTCGCCTTGAGCTGAAGAGCTGAGGGACAAGCGCCCAGGCCCAGAGTTCAAGCCCCACAACCGCCAAAAAAAAAGAGTTTCACGGGCTTTCCTGCCTAGGCTGGCTTTGAACCATGATCCTCAGATCTCAGCCTCCTGAGTAGTTAGGATTACAGGCATGAGCCACCTGCGCCCGGCTCCTGGCATTACTCTTGTAAAACAAAAATCAAAATCTATGCTGTTTCAGCTGCACAAGGAGGGATTTCATTCATGTAGATATATTTCTGTACATGTACAACATTCCTATCGGTCTTCCCCTGAAGTAGGCTATTTCTTGGGGTGAATTTTGAGAATATTAAGCTCCCTTGGTGGTTTTGTTTTGTGCTGGTCCTGGGCTTAAACTCAGGGCCTGGGCCCTGTCCCTGAGTTTTTTGTGCTTAGATGAGTGCTTTACCACTTGAGACACACTTCCACTTCTGGCTTTTTGGGTGATTAATTGGAAATAAGAATCTCATGTACTTATTGCCTTTGTTGGCTTTGAACCATGATCATCAGACCACAGACTGCCTAGTAGCTAGGATTATAGGGATGAGCCACCTGCACCCAGCCCTGTTTTTCTTTTAGAAATATGAAGCCAGACGCCGGTGGCTCATGCTTGTAATCCTAGCTACTCATGAGGCTGAGATTTGAGGATTGTTTTAAAGCCAGCCTGGGCAGAAAGTCTGTGAGACTCTTATCTCCAATTAACTACCAGAAAATTGGAAGTGGCACTGTGGCTCAAGTGGCACAAGAGCTGACAAGCTGAGGGACAGCGCCCAGGGCCAGAGTTCAAGCACCACAACTGACAAAAAGAAAAAAGATAGTTGACTTAAAGCTTTTTAATTTTTGTGATTTTTTTTTATTTTTTTATTTTTTGGGTCCAGTCATGGGGCCTGAACTCTGGGCCTGGGCGCTGTCCCTCAGCTCTTCAGCTCAAGGCTAGCGCTCTACCACTTGAGACACAGCGCCACTTGCGGCTTTTCTTTTCTTTTTGCTTCTATGGTGCTGAGGAATCGAACCCAGGGCCTCAGGCATGCAAGGCAAGCGCTCTACCACTGAGCCACTTCCCAGCCTCCTCTCACCGATTTTATTTTTCCTTTTTTTTACAAGGTGTTTTGTAACAAAGCTAGGGTTTGTGGGTAAGTGGTGAGAATGTGCTTCACATACATTAAAACCTGAGTACAGGCTGGGCGCCGGTGGCTCACGCCTGTAATCCTAGCTACTCAGGAAGCTGAGATTTGAGGATCTCTCGGTTCAAAGCCAGCCCGGGCAGGAAAGTCCGGGCAGGAGAGTCCGTGAGACTCTTAACTCCATTGAACCACCAGAAAACCGGAAGTGGCCCTGTGGCTCAAGCAGTAGAGCGCTCACCTTGAGCTGAAGAGCACAGGGACAGCTTCCAAGCCCAGAGTTCGAGCCCCACGACCAACAAAAAACAAAACAAAAAAAAAAAACCTGAGTATAATTCTCAGCACCAAATAAAATAAAAAACAAAAAGAAACTTTAGGGAACACACAAAAAGAGAAAATCAGGATCATTGGAAGGAAAATTTGCGGCAGTTCTACATGGGATTTGGGCTAAGTCTAGAGCCCTTTCTCAGATTGTGTGGGAACCCTAGAGCTCTGTCCGGACTGTGATTGGTGTCTAGAGATTCGATTGGTGTTTTCGTTTTCTTTTGTTTTGGTTGGTCGTGGGGCCTGAACTCAGGGCCTGGGCGCTGTCCCTCAGCTCTTCAGCTCAAGGCTAGTGCTCTACCACTTGAGCCACATCCCCACTTCCGGCTTTTTCTGTGTGTGTGTGGTGCTGACGATTGGAACCCAGGGCCTCATGCATGCAAGGCAAGCACTTTACCACTGAGCCACCTTCCCAGCCCTTTTGCTTAAGGCAAGCACTCTACCACTTGAGTCACACTGCTCCCTGCCCCTTGTGGGGGTTGAACTCTGGGCTTGGGAGCTGTCCTTCCGCTCTTCAGCTCAAGGCAAGCACTGTACCACTTGAGCCACAGTGCCACTTCTGGTTTTCAAGTGGTTTATTGGAGATAGAGTCTCAGGTACTTTCCTGCCCGGGCGTTCCTCAGACCTCAGCCTCCTGAGTAGCTAGGATTACAGGCGTGAGCCACTGGCGCCCGGCTCTTCCAGTTTTTTGTTTGTTTGTTTGTTTTTTGTTTTTTTGAGTAGTTGGTTGGAAATGAGTCCCATGGAGTTTATTGCCTCAGCTGGCTTCAAATGGTGATCCTCAGATCTCAGCCTCCTGAGTAGCTAAGATTACAGGCATGGGCTGGGCTCAGTATTTCTTGATGAATACATCTTCTTGGCCTATAGAAATTTATTTTGTATTTTGTATTTGTGTTTCCCATGTTAATGATTATTTTTATCTTTTTAGGAAAAGCTGTTACTAGAACCAATGTTTGAAGTTCCCAATTCTGATATTGTGTGTGTGGAAGTTGACAAAGATGTAGTAGAAGGGAAAAAGGAACCAGGATACATTCGGTAAAGTATATTTCTAGCAAGAACAGATCTAAAATTTAAGATCCTTATTGCTGGGGCTGGGAAGGTGGCTCAGTGGTAGAGCTCTTGCCTTGCATGCATGTGGTGCTGTGGCTCAAGTGGTAGAGCACTAGCCTTGAGCTGAAGAGCTGAGGGACAGCGCCCAGGCCCAGAGTTCAGGCCCCATGACCGGACACAAAAAACAAAACAAAAACAAGATCCTTACTGCTTCTTACTAGAGTTTCCTGGCCTATCACTTTGAAAATACATAATAATTATAATATTGTAAGAGTAGTAATATTCTCATGAATTTTCTATGGAAAAAAATCTAATTTGGGTTCATAAAAAAATAGTATTTTATGAGGCTTTCTGGAAAGCAATCTTTAAAATTAGCCTCCACACTTTCTCCTGTAAAGTGAAAGTGTCAAAAGAGACATAAAAATAGAATATCTAGAGACTAATCTGAGCACCCATGGTTCACATCTGTAATTCTAGCTACTTAATAGGCTTTGACCTAGAGAATCATAGTTCAAAGCCAGCCTGGGCAGAAAAGTCTTCAAGCTCCCATCTCCAATTAACCAGCAAAATGTCAAACTAAAGGTATAGCTCAAGTGGTGAAGTGCCAGCCATGAGCAAGCAAGCAGAGTAAGAGCTTGAGATCCTGATTCAAACCCGAGTACCAACACAAACACACAAAATGAAGACATTAAAATAAAATAAACTTTGCTGCTAATTTTCTGATAAATGACTTTTTCATGGCTTTCCAAACTTTTCACCATATTTTTTTCCTCAGTATTATCATACCAGTTAACAAATTCTACTTATCTCCCACTGCTTTACTTATCTAATCTAGGGCTCAATAAACTTATATAAAGAGCCCCACGACAAAAAAAAAAAAAATTAGGGTCATATGGTCTATTTCAACTACTTAAAACATCCTTCTTAGCACAAAAGCAGCCCCAGAAAACATGTAGGGAGATGAGCATGTCATCAGCATTGATTAAAAACAGACAGTGGACTGAATTTGATTTGTAGGTTATATTTTATTTGATAAATAAATTATTAGGGAAAATGTTGGGAAATGTACCTGTAACACTGTCCTGTAGTTCTCCATATTTTATCACTAAGTAATCTGAATACCCCAAATCATCTTAGTTTTCCCTATTTTTTTACATCTTTTTTTTTTTTTCTTTTGGTCATCATTCGCAGGTCTTGAACTCTGGGCCTGGGCGATGTCCCTGAGCTCTTCAGATCAAGGCTAGCACTCTACCACTTGAGCCACAGTGCCACTTCTGAATTTCTGGTAGAGATAAGAGTCTCATGGACTTTCTTGGACTGGCTTTGAAACTGGGATCTTCAAATCTCAGCCTCCTGAGTAGTTAGGGTTATAGGCATGAGCCACCTGCACCCGGCAATATCCCCTCTTTTTGTGGCTGTTTAGCTAAGGGATTAATTGACTATTTGAATGTAGAAATCATGTTTGCTTCTAATTTTTATTTAAGAAACAAACAAATATGAAATAATCTTTTCATTCCAGAACTCCAGCAAAAGAATCATCTGAAGAGGAGTATGACTCTGGAGTTGAGGAAGACGGCTGGCCTCGCCAAGCAGATGCTGCAAACAGCTAAACTGTCAGACTCCTGTCCTGTATATAAAGCTTTTCCTTCTTTTGTTTAGGATCATAACTTTCTACAGTCTGACATTAAAGGCATTGAATCTATCTTGGATATCATACATGGTCAGAAGCCTTTAGGATAAGCATAAGATCATGTATATTATAACATCACATTGATTTATACAGAAGACATTACGTGGACTTGAATGACAACAATGTTTAGAGATAAAATGTATATTATCTTGGTTCAGTTTTTTAAGAAATATGCTTTATCAAAATTCTTAGGAGTTCTTTAAGCAATGCAGGTATTGCAATAACTGTGGATTTTACAATAATGTTACTCTACAAATGGGAAAATAAATTCTTTAAAATCGAATATTGAGATATACCATTCTTTAGTGCTATGTTTTTCTACCCATATTAATTTCCTGAAACTATTTAGAATCTTATTTCTCTTAAAAATTAGACCAGGAAGTAATATTTAAATATTTTATGGAAAATGCCCTGAACCATATTTTGATTATTTGCTTACCTATATTCTTAAGTCTTTGGTAAATGCATGACATGAACTTCCCAACTGATCCTGTTAAAAAAAGAAAAAAAAAAGCCATTCTCTTGCTTACCTAATCTGATTTATTAACAACTTTGAGCCATTTTTAGTACCATGGGTGAGTAGATGGACTTAAAATTTGAAATCTTCAGAAAAAAGACTAAACAACTAATTCTTTTAATAGCATGCTGTATCGATCATAGCAAGAGCCATATGCAGAACTAGATAAAATATCCTAATAGTGTGTGCTTTTCCTAAAGTATTGAATTTGGTTTTTGTTTTGTCTTGGTGCTAGACATCTGTCTAATCCTTTGGCTTCATAGAACATTAAATAATCTTTTAACATCAGCTAAAGTGAATGAATGTGTTCACACTAACATAAGTCACTAATCTTCATCACATAGCAAAACTAAAAATGGGGGGTGAACTTAAATTTTTACCGTCTGATTCCATAAGAACTGTTCAGGTACCCTTTAAGCATTTCTCTTTCCTTCTGTAATACCAGTTTCTACATTCTTCATTCAGCTCAATAAGTCTTGTTTGAATCAGAATATCTTTATAGATTTCTTTTTTTCTTTTGGAGTCTTGAGCTTTCCTTTAGTCCTTTAGCCCACATTTTTTAAAAAAGGAAACAAACCCTTAAGCTATTAAGAAATTCTAAATCTTGGTGAAGACTTTGACTTTCTGTGATAGACTAAAAGGCATGTGAGGTACCTTTCTTTTATGGCTGGGTAGGACCAGAAATTTCTTTGTGCAGTGTTTAATCCTAACTACTATAGTAGCTCTCTCTAGTAATGGTTCAAGTTCTTCTCATGAGGTCTTTCAGATTATAACTTTGTTCTCATGGCATCATTTTCCTTTTTGTAGAGTGAAAATTGCAGTAGTTTCTAAATAAAGAGCAATCTTTGAAAAATAGACTGGGAGACATTTTAGTCATAACTACATTTGGTTTTGGAAGTTGTTAACAAGACCTAATTGATGTTTTTAAATCAAACAAATTGAGTATAACAACAATTTGTATCTTGGAACTTACATTTGAATAAAACAAAGCTAAATGAAAGCTGTTGTGATAGTGTGTCCATACTGCAAAGATCAGGAGTACGGTGTGTTAACAGTAGCTGGGCCAGCCAGAGCAGGGCCATGCAATGTTTTAAAAAGTAGCTTTGTGCTAGGAATTGGTTAATCCTTGGTACTTCTGTGTCCCTCTAGTAAGTGCTCCTAATTATAGATTCTACCACGTGTTATTAAAGATTATATTAAAATTTTTAACTGTCCCACATAGAACTTGATAATGGAACACAGACCAAACTTTTCAAAAACATTACTAGTTTTGTAGGGGAAACAAACAAACCTTCTGTGCATTATAGTAAGGTAAGGTAGTTACCTCTGATAACACAGATGGGTTGGAACAAATAGGAATGTTCCAGGAAAATGAGAAATCAAAATCTCAGTATGAAAAACTAGGGAGACTCAAAGTTGTCAAATAGGTAACAACCGTGACTTGCTTTCACTGTCATTTTTCTATTCTTCCCCTGCATCCGGCTGATGCTATTTCATGTTTCACTGAGAAACAAATGGAACTGCTCATTCTACAATCTCCCTATTTTAGAACCGAAGGACCCTGTTACCAGATCTCAATCACTCTATTTATGCCCTGGTTCCCTCCATTCCCTTTCTCAAGGTCCTTAGTCCTTTGGTTAACGTCTTTATTAAATTACCTAAGCCTTCCTTGTGAATTGCTCCAGTAGCAGCAGCAGCAGCTCCTCCTCCTCCTCCTCCTCCTCCTCCCTCCTCCTCCTCTTCTTTTTCCTTTTGGTTCTTGTTGTTGGTTATGGGGCTTGAACTCTGGGACTGGGCGCTGTCCCTCAGCTCAAGGCTAGCACTCTACTACTTGGGCCACACCACCACTTCTGGATTTCTGGTAGTTTATTGGAGATACGAGCCTCACAGACTTTCCTGCCCAGGCTGGCTTTGAACCACAATCCTCAGAACTCAGCCTCCTAAGTAGTTAGGATTACAGGCGTGAGCCACCAGTGCCCTGCTTCATGCCTGCCATCCTAGCCACTCAGTAGGAGGCTGAGATCTGAGGATCATGGTTTGAAGCCAGCCTAGGGGAAAAAAGTCCATGACAGTCTTATTCCAATATTCAGTTAAAAAAAGCGGGGGTGGGGGGTGGGCGCTGGGAAGGTGGCTCAGTGGTAGAGTGCTTGCCTCGCATGCATTAGGCTCTAGGTTTGATTCTTCAGCACCACATAAACAGAAAAAAAGCTGAAAGTGAAGTGTGGCTCAAGTGGTAGAGTACTAGCCTTGAGCTGAAGAGCTGAGGGACAGCGCCCAGTCCCAGAGTTCAAGCCCCAGGACTGACCCCCCCACCACCAAAAAAAAAAAAAAAGGAAGTTGGCACTGTGGCTCAAATGGTAGAGCATTAGCCTTGAGTGCAAAGAAGCTCAGGGACAGCTCCCAGGCTCTGAGTTCAAGCCCCAGGACCAGCAAAAACAACAAAAATATTTGTCCTTTAGCAAATCTCCAAGCTGTCTTTCCAACTATACTGTAAGTCCGTTAGGGTGAAGACCAAACCTACCATATTGTTTATATTTTGTGCACATGTTTAGTGGTCCACACATAATTTAAGTATCCCTTTGCCAGGTGACAGTGGCTCACATTTATAATCCTAGGTACTCAGGAGGCTGAGGTCTAAGGATTGCAGTTCAAAGCCAGCCCTGGGAGGAAAGTCCTTGAGACTCATCTCTCAATTAACAACAACAAAAAAGCTAGAAGTGGAACCTCGGCTTCAGTGTTAGAGCTATAGCCTTAAGCAAAAGCAGAAAAGGTCAAAGCCCTGAGTTTAAGCCCCAGGACATACACGCACACACACACACACACACTAAGCCCCAGGACACACACACACACACACCCCAAAAAAGAAACTTGGTAAAGATGATGCTGTGTGGGCCAAGATGAGGAAGTGGTAGGTGATGGGCAGTTATTTTTGCAAACTAGTCCAAGAGTTATCCCATGGTCTTGAATGCACAATCTAAAAATGCTTTCTCCTAAATTAATTTATAAATTTCATATTCCAATAAAAATACCAAATAAAGGCAGGCAAGACAATCCCTTGGATGTACTTTAGACACCAGGTCCAAAGTCCTGGAGTTCAATGTTAGGTCTAGCCACTTGCCCCCCCCCCATATACCAAATAGAGACATGGTGAATGGCAGAGAAAGATTTATTACAAGGCAGCCATGGGAAGATAGCACTTCAGTAAGATACTATATCTTCAGCTGTTTTTAGAGGTACAAATTGTCTTCAGGTTAAATAGGGAGAACTGGGGGTACTGCTTGAGAAAGATGTATAATGAAAATGGGTATAAGCTAATGGCTTTTGTCTCTGGAGGAGTTCCAGATGTCACTTTATTACTGGAACAGAACAGGAACAAGGTAATGTGGTCTCCTGAGTTAGGGGCTGGTTTTTTGTTGTTTTGTTTTGTCAGTCCTGGGGCTTGAACTCAAGGTCTGAGCACTGTCCATGAGCTTCTTTAGCTCAAGGCTAGCACTCTACCATTTGAGCCACACCACCACTTCCAGCTTTTTCTGTTTATGTGGTACTGAGGAATCAAATCCAGGGTTTCAAGCACTCTACCACTAAGCCACATTCCCAGCCCTTGGGCTGTTTTTAAGATAATAAGGAGAGGCAGATCTGTTGGAAGTTCAATTTGCCTTCCACACAAGGTGGTTATTGAATCTTCTGCAAACAGATGATTGCAAAGGAACCACAGTAGAAAATAGATGGAAGGGCACAGATAACCAAGTTGATGGACTTCTAGTGACAGGAACCAACAAAAGAATCTTTTAAGTTGCTTCTTAGAACTAATAACAGTACCAGGATTTAAATCCAGATACTTTTTCCAGTGCGGCTAAACTGAAAAAATGGGTAAGGGACTGTCTCAACTAGCTAGTTAGTGTCTAGCATGTGTAGTTTATATATGTGTGTGTGTCCCAGTACTGGGGCTGAATTCTGGGCTTTCATGCTTGCTTCTTTTGTTCTGTTCTTACCAAGGTTGTGAGTTGGGAGCTACCTAGGGCCCAGCTGTTTCAGGGCCTTTTGTTAGGAAGAGATGTTGAATTTTATAGTTTTTTCTGCATCTATTGAGAAAGCCACATGGTTTTTGTCCTTGATGCTATTTATGTGCTGTTTTACATTAATTAGGATTGACATATGCTGGGGGGAAAAAAGATATTGAATATTATAAGTTCTATCTCCCCAAAATCACCAGACTCAACTTAATGGTTTTTGAGCTCCATAAATACTGGCAACTGCTACTTGCTAGCACTGTTACCATCTGATCTGTGCTGCTCTTAACTTTAACTCCTGTTTTTGCCTTCAGATTTGGACTGAAGCCTTAAATCCTTAAACCAACTTTGTTCTCAAACTCTTAGAAGAGCCAAACGCTCATCATTAGTTCTAGATATGATTGAGGATTACTTGATTAATGTGTTTCCGTGTGTGTGTGTGTGTGTGTGTGTGTGTGTGTGTGTCCTGGAACTTGGCCTAGGCGCTATCTTTAGGCTAGGACTCTGCCATTGGAGATAAGAGTCTCACTGACTTTCCGGGCTGGGTTGGCTTTGAACCGCGATCCTTTGATCCCAGCCTCCTGGAGAGTAGCTGGGACTTCAGCTGTGAGTCACCGCCGACACCAGGCTAATGTACTTCTTACACTTTCCCACGTGTCGAGCGCTCAGCGAGCCGAACCAATGCCCATTTCGGATTAGGCTTCCTGGCATGACGTCACTCTCACGCTTCTCCCTGTGCCTCGGGACGGTTGTCGCGCGTCCTAAGACGTCATTTCCGTCCAGGAGCCTGCCCGGAGCGCCCGGGAGTTTCCGTGGCTTGCGAGGTTGCGGGGGACATGGCCCTGCCGCCCTTCTTCGCCCCGGGTCGCCCGGGTCTGCCGCCCCCACAGCCGCCGCCTCCGACTCCCTTCGGCTGCCCGCCACCACCGCTTCCCTCGCCGGCTTTCCCGCCGCCGCTTCCCCAGCGGCCTGGTCCTTTTCCGGGGGCCTCTGCCCCCTTCCTGCAGCCTCCGCTGACTCTGCAGCCCCGGGGCCCCGCAGAAGCCTCCCGGGGCGGCGGCGGCGGCGGCGGCGCCTTCT